ATAGAAAAGTAAAAAAAAAATAAGAATAAGAAGAGAAATAAAAATTAAAAAAAAATGAATTTTACTCTATATTTATAGATTTATTTTATTGTAATATAATTTTTTGGATTCTCTTCTCTAAAGAGTTTTAAATTATTTTGAATTGTTTTAAATAATAAATGATAATAAGTAAAATTAACTAAATAGTACTAATGTATTTATATATTTATCAATTATTAAATATTATTTTGATATTTAATAGCAAAGATATCAATATAACAAGAACCACATCTAAAATTAAAAACCAATTAAGATACAACTTATTATTGATAAAACAAATAAGCCCAGAAAATTAAGCAATATTATGTCCTACATAATTTAATATTGATTACAAAAAATTCTGGGAATAAATAACAAGTTGTATAAATCAAGGATATTTCAGTTTTTAAATATATCAATTAATCAGCAATAATTTAAGTCCTCTTAAGAGATACATGTGTTGCTCCAATACAACTGAGTATACTTCCTGCTATCCAAGTTTTAAAACTTAAAGTCAAAAAGGCTTTATGAACAATAGTAATTTTAACACTGTAAATATTATTGATAATATGAAACTTGGTTCAGATGACATTAAATTTAACATAACCTAATTTATTTATAGAAGAGATGAACATTGATAATATGCAATTGTAATTGGTATCAAAGACATCTATCTAATATAATTGAATTTCCAGGTGACACATAATTTGAGTAAGAATTGTCATAAATCTCAGAAGAAATCTTAAGAGTTCATGAAGGTTGTTATATAGTTGAAAAAATTTTAATTTAGATTATTACTTGCAACTGTCCTATTCAGGGCAGCGTTGGTATCTTGGATGAGTCAGAAGTTTACAGATTTTTGTGAGTGTCTTTTCTTTTATCATCTTAGAGTCTAGCCTGGTTATTGATCAGTCTAATCCTCCGCCTACTCTTGTAGTATGTCTGATTAGATTTCACTTTCCCAGGTTATGCTATTAATAAAAATAACTCTTTATGTTCTGGGTTATTGACTCCTAACACCAATCTTTAATAAACAAAATTTTATATATAGTTTAGTAATTAAATTTAATAAGTAAAAGTACAATATTACCAAGTTACAGCTAAGTTTAAATAATATTTGCATATCATAATCTATGTAACTAAAAAAATTAAAAGCTGATTAATATTATGGGATAAGAAAGCGGAATATATTAGATAATAGAAAGAGATGGTGGCAATACATAGGTAGTGTTTCACTAAAAAATCAGAATAGAAAATCGAGAGAAGAGGGAAATGGACATATAATTCAGAAAGATACAAAAGCTCTTAGAATTTATTAGTATATGGAAGTAAGGATAATCGATTACAATGCCACGAGTAAATCATTAAACAATTAAACAATATAAACTTTAATATGATCCATTATTAAGTAACATATCAATTTTTAGTATTTAAATATTAAAAAACAAACATATATTTAAATATAAAAGGCATTATACAAAGAGATGAATAAAATATTCATATCCAAACAAAATGATGATTTAGATGCAAGATGAAAGAAGGAATAAGAAAGTTATATTGATTTTATATTATTGTTAGAATAAAAAACATTATAAAGAAATTATTGATTAGAGTTGTAGAAGGATTTTAAGATGATGGCAATATAAAACTCATGGATTACTATGATATACTCTGCAGATCAATCAAAATAGTTGATTACATTGTATTGATTTGCTTTTTCAGGAGCGATGTTAGCAACAATTATTATTAACTTTTACAAAAAAACCTTATATAATAAATGTTTTAATGATATAAAGTATGATAAATTTAGAATGCCGATACCTTTATATTTTTATAACGCATCGTCTTACTTCCTTGATGGGATTTTCTTTACTTTTGAATCAATTCTTATGAAAATGCAACTTACTTAGGTCTAAAAAAATTATGAAATATTCTTCTTAAAGTTTTGTATCCTTATATTTATCTGTCTTTTCATAAAATAACTTTTCATTTATAATTAATTTTGAAATGTTTTCAAATTCTCTGGCACAATTAAGTTTGCGATTGTTCTATTCACTATTAAATAAAATATCAATATTGAATTGAATTCTAATTTATTTTAGGATATTAAGATGAGTAAGTAAGGTTTTTTATTTAGATTCCTTAGATTCAATATACAGGAATATATTTTGGTTACTTATTATATCTTAATTAGGGGGGCACTAAATTTATATATATGTTGGCTTGGTTGCGCAAGTACATAATTTAAAGGCTATTAAAAGAATGCATGAAGTAAATGAAAAATAATTTTATTTTTAAAATGTTTCAGCTTTAATATTAAGATTTGCAAAATGGTTGACGACAAAATAATTTATGTATATTTAAGATTTATTATAGTTTTGTTGCCAATATTCATGATTAATATGAAGGTGAAATCTAATAGATTTATTCTATTATGAATCCTATCATACATTTTAATATTTATTCAAAATTTAATTTAATAAATTAAGGGAATTAAAGTATGCCTCTTTCTTTATTAATAGAAATCTTAACAGAAATATGAGAGCTTAGTTATGTAACACTGGTATTATGTATTTGCTTAAAAAGTAATCTAAAATCATCACTAATTTAGTAGTAGTTAGGATTAAAGAACTTCGAAATTTATTTTATCTTATTATCAAAAAAGGTACTGAATAATTTATATCATGGGAGTTAGATGAAAATATGATTATCAAAAATAAAATAAAAAGTATAAATCAATTATAGAATACTATTATTAGATTAAATACCCTAAGTTGAAATGACGCTCAAATTGAGTCTAACTGAATATATATTAGTAGAGGATGGCTTCCTTAATTAAATAAGGTTATGAAATTTACACAACCCAATTTTCAAAAATGGTAGAAGATTTAAAATATAAATCTGAAAAATTTTATTAAAATAATAAAAATCTACAATTAATGCAGTGCCAAATAGTTTTAAAAATTATACATTTAGAACTAATTATAAAATGATTCAAAAAAGTTTAATGCTAAATTATTGTCAAATGCATATAAAATAAATCTATTTAAGAGGAGGGAATTGCCAAGGTATGATATTTTAGAATTCTCTAGGAATTCTCCTAGGAAAAACTCATTTTATTTTTGAATTTTAAAATAATTTCTCATTAAATTAACCCAAGAATTTGTTATTTTTAAATGATATAGATTTCTGCTCAAAATTTAAATGAAAAAAAAACTGAAATAAATTCTATGAATATTCTTTCTGGATATTGGTTTAAATAAATTAGTTAAAATATGCCTACAATATAGATATTATTATTTCAAAAAGATAAGTAAATTAATTTATACTCAAAAAATAATATTAAATGAACACTCTTTATGATTAATTTGTATTTTTTTGGTGCTAAATTTCTTTAAGAAATGATAGATTAAAAGAAGAAACAAATCTCTACTAAATTGATAATTTAATTTTGAACTAACCTAAGAAGATTATCTAATAGCCTTTATTTAACTTGAATAAACATATTTATCAACTAATCCATTAAAATTTTCATCAGGGTTATTTAGAGTTTAACTGATGAAGTTAGAAAAAAATTTAAAAATTTTATTCAAAATTAAGTTAAATATTGCAAAATAACATCAATCGACAGATATTTGTGAACTAATATTGAGTGAGAAAATTTTTCAATCACAATCATTTTATTTTATAATTTTAAAAAATTAATTTTTTATTAAAATTCCTTACATTTTTTTATAACTATAGATATACTTAATTGCAAACAATGTACTTTAATATATTAACAATAATTTACAAATTAAAGCAATCTCTTAATAATACTGATTGAAACGATATTCTATCAAATTACATTGTTTCTATAAAAAAATGGTTAGCATCTAATTAAAAATATTTTCTATTGATCAAATACTTTTTTTATTTCCATTTATTTCAAATCATTAAATAATCAAAGTATAATCTGAACAATTCCT